GCGGATTTGAAGTCCGATTGACGGATCTTCTTCCACTCGGCCTTCCATATCGTCAACTCTGCTACCTCGCGGAACTCTCACGTGAGGTCCTGGGAGAATTCTGCCCAAGTGGGGAATCTCCAGTGGCCCTGTGGATCCCGATATCGATAATACTGGTCGACCCACCACTGCTGTGCGTCTCCCCGTAAGTATCCCTGTGCGAACGTGATGTGATAGGGGTTGTGTCCCTGATCGTTCATTGTGTAGTACATAGGGAATACAGCGAAATACACCTCGCAATGATGGAGGAAGCGGGTGATGTCTGAGGATACCCCGGTAAAGTACTCGGGCTGGGTCACCAGCTTGGGTTTCACGTCGTTCCAGGGGTTGTTAGCCCCCCCGGGGGCCAACTGCCATGGCGGGATAGGATCCGGTGGAGAGGGCACGTGAGGGGGTGCCGGCGGCTTGGGTGGGCGCGACAACGATCGTAAGTTCCGGTTTTCCCCTGGCGGCGGATATCCCGACGGGTCCGGATATTGCGGGGGTTTCGGTGGCGGTGGCGGGACCGTGGACTGCTTTCCCTTGTCCGGGTTGGAGGGTCCCGCCCCCATGTCCGCGTAGTCGTCGTCGTCGTCTCCTCCTGCTCCTCCGAAGAACCCTTCGGGGAAGAAGTCCGACGGATCTTGTGGGTGAGGCATTGGCTGAGGACGTCGGTACGGTTCACATCCCCGTCGGAGGTCCTCGGGATGGACCTGGTTCCATACCCTGGCTGCGCGATGCCAGGTTTCTACGTCCAGGATATTTTTCTGCAGATACACGTCGCCCATCTGGCGAGCATGCCGATAGTCTTCCCCCGCCTCCGTGAATAACCACTGCAGGTCTTTTTCCATGTCCTCCATCATTATCTCATATAGGCCGTGCCACGGTAGGAGGTCGAAAATGGCAGGCCGCGGATGGGGTCCATTAAGAAGGACCTGCCTCACTGCCGCCATTACCGTCGGTTCGAGGGTCCTGTTTGGCGGGCGGTTGGGCATCCTTTGCCTCCTGCCTCTCTCGGGCGAGGCGGTCGATTCTTGCATTTCTTCTCTGCCTCTCGATATCTGAGTCCCAGTCGGTGAGCTCTGCCTCGTAGGCGGCCCAGGCTCTTGCTCTGGCCTCGAGGTCTGCTCCTGCATGTCGTACGGCGCCGGAGTATCTGACCGCGGCTGCTCGTATTCTATTTCTGACTTCGATGGGGGTGGCGTCGGGCTCGAGTGGTAGGTCCCACCAGCCTGTGGGTCCCTGGAGAGCGTCTTCTTCTGCTTGACGAATGCGTGTGTCATGCGCTCTTCCTCTGTCCATTCTGGCCTGGACTTCTGGGGCTTCCCGGGCATCTCTAGGGAGTCCGAGGGACTCGACGTACGTGTGATAAAGGAGAGGCCAGGGACGCTGGGAGGCAGGGACGGGGTCGGCGAAGGCTCGCGCCTGGACTGACGGTTCCCAGTTGGTGACTCCGGCGAGACGCTCGGAAGCGGTAATTGTTCCAAGTTCCTCGGCGTCGTAGTCTGGGAACTCGCTCCAAAGCTCCCCACTCGTCGGCTCGTGCGAGAGGACGGTGGGAGCGAGCGTTGGTGTCGCGGGCCTTGTAGCGACCTGGTTGGACTCTGACTCGGATCCTGAGTCGGTCGACTCTCCGGCCACAGAAGCCTCTTTCCCGTCGTTGTCGTCGGCGTAGACCCAACTGGTACGCGGGTACCAGGCGACTGCCCTTCCCCGATTGGTTGGCCAGGAGCCTGAAACAGGCTGTGGCTCAGCTGGACGGGTGGTAGCTGCGGAGGCCCCGAGGCCAAGCTCTCCGGAGTCGTCTCCGAGGTCGTCTCTAGCCTTTCCCTTCTCGTATCTCCTCTTCTCGCTTCCCCACTCTGCGTCTGTCCACCTGCGCTGGGAGCGTCCGCTCCAGCTGTCTCCGGTATAGGCGGCATCTTCTTCCTCGTTCGGGTAGAGGTCGCCGAGGAGGTTTTCGAGTCGGATTCTTTCGAGGTCAGTGAGCTCGTCGCCTTCGAACTCAGTGTCAGAGCCTTCTTCGCTCTCGACCAGATGCCTGGTGCCTTGTCTTCGGGCTCCGTCGGCGCTTGACTCGCCTTCGACTGGAGAGATGTCGAAGAGACCTGGTAGGGGCGAGTCTCCTCGGTCGAGGAGTACCCCCCGGGTATCGGCGATGTCGACGGAGTGGTCTGACTCGGTGGCGCTTCTGTAGGAGTCGGTGCTCGACTCTGAGGATCGCGAGCTGGATCGCGACGATGTGTAGAGGGACCCTCCAGGTCCTCTGGGTGTGATGGGTCGGCCATCGTGGAGGGTTTGTTGGGAAGCGGCGGGGATGAAGATTATTGGTGGTGGATACGCCGGTGTTGCCGGAACGTAATGGAACGGAAGTTGCGCTCGTACTCGCCTCTGCTCTCGACAGCACCGCTGAAGGTAGTACAAGCAGATGAACAAGAAAAAGACGGTAGAAAGCGCGGAGATGACGGGAATGGCGTCGGATAAGGGCATCCGTTCGTGGGCTTATCTTTTGGGACTGCCCGCGATAACGATGGACCATACGACAGTTAGGACGAGGATTGTTAAAGCTGCGAGGGTCGCGATAATCAGGTTGAGGTCGGTCTCGTAGTTAGAGCCGGTCATCAACAGGGTTTCGTTGTCAAAGGAAGGGTCAGTCAATGTCAGCAGGATAACCGCTAACAATGATGCTGATTTTAAGAATAGGTTAAAGAGATTCGTCGTGCCTCAAACCAGTGGAACGTATGCACCGTACAGGGCAACCAACAGTCCTGCTAGAAGCGGTGCGGCGATACAGACTCGAATGAGGGCGAGGGTGAGTAGAACAGTAACTAAGACTGCAAAGATCGGATCGTTGATGATGTGCGGAATGATCCAGGCGACGACAGCGGCTTGGAGCAATAAGTCAAATGGTGTGACCCAGAGGACTACTGCAATCAAAAGATGTATCGGATGAATCTTGATAAGGTAGATAGCACTGACGAAGCGTCAAAGTGCTGCTAGCAACCGCTTAGGTTTAACTAGGGAATTCAATGGTATAGGTACGTCGGGCAGTGCTGGTTCTCGAACGTGGCGCTGAGCGACGTGTGTCGAGCTTCGGCTAAATGTTAGCCACTAACTCGAATTGGCTTAGATCAGACAAGGATCGCTACTCGCACTTCGGTAGACGATACAATGGCAGTCAAAGGCGATGAAACGGAGTCAGGAGCGAACTTAGATAGTCGCGAAACACGGAGTTCGACGTTAGGTAGAATAAACCTTAGCCGAAGCTGGGGTTTAGACCAGCTGAGGCTCTACTTAAATACACGGTGCGTAGCCTAAGAATAGTACTGTGAGAATGTCCGATCAGAACCGCAGCATAGAGTAAGCCTGATTGCGTAAGAAAAAGGAAAAGAAAAGAATAAACCGTAACACCAAGGCCCATTCAATGCACCGCCACTTCTGTTCTTCCACTCCTCACTGCAAGGTGCTGTCTCTCGCAAGCACCAAACAAAAATTTGCTGTATATTCCATCTTTCATGGCCGCATGGGTCCTCTGTTAATGATGGAATTCCTGACCACGAAGCTTCCATAGCCTATGACATGTTTCACAAAGCAGTTCAAGACCTCACTGCATCAGGAGTTGGTTCTCTCCTGGTAAAACTGGATTGGGAGCAAGCATTTCGACAGATCCCCGTGCAACCTGAAGACTGGCATCTACTTGGTTTTTCTTGGGCAGGGAAGTTCTATTATAACCTTGTACTTTGCTTTGGACTATGTTCTGCCCCATACATCTTCAATCTCTTCATGGAGGCCCTTCACTGGATCATCCAGAAGCATATACCAGCATACTTGCAACATTACCTTGATGACTTCTTAGGCATTTTCTCTCCTGATCATTCTCATGAGACAGTTCAAAAAGCTCTAGAATGAATGCTTGCACTTGGACAGCAGCTTGGCTTACATTTTCAGCCAGCTAAACTTGATGGACCTTCAACTATCATTGAGTTCCTTGGACTCATCCTTGATTCCATCAAAATGGAAGCACGACTGCCAGATGTTAAATTGGCATACCTTCGGGAGCTTCTTCAGTTGTGGAATTCATGCCATTCATGTTCACTACATGACCTTGATGAACTAACTTGGCTACCTGCAATTCTGTTCTCAAGTCATTCCTATGTCTTGGGCATTCATTCAAGCGATGCACGATTTCTCATCCTCATTTTCGTTGCCATTTTCTCAACATCACATCCCTCTCACTGTTCGGGCTGACATCAATTGGTGGCTTAATGTTGCTTTGTAGTGGAATGGAGTGCACCTCCTGCCACCAAAACACAAGACAGTCCACATCTACACTGACACATCAGGGTCTAAAGGTATTGGAGGAGTCTTTGGCTCACATTGGTTCTCTGCAAGGACACCTTGCCAAATCCGTCATCTTCACATACAAGTGAAAGAAATATATGCAGCGCTCCATGCGGTACTGTGTTGGGGTGATTCCCTTCGACACAAACACGTCATCTTTCACATTGACAATGAAGCCATTTTTGATGCACTCAACAAGCACACAATTTGTTCTGCCCCTACGATGCACTTCCTTCGCCAATTCCTCAGCATGGCATGCTGCCTCGACTTCTCTTTCTCTTCTATTTGGTTATCCTCTGCTGATAATGCCCTTGCTGACACTGCTTCTTGTTTTTCATATACTCGCTTATTTCAACTTGCACCCTATCTCAACAAAAAGCCTTCCTCAAAGTGCCTCCGAATTGGTGGTATCAAAGACATGAAAACCTCTCCAAGACCGTTGCTTTCTACCTCTGGCATGGCCTCACATCAAGCACACGTTCCACCTACAGCACGGGCCAAAAATCCTTCATTGACTTCGTCCAGCTCCACTCCCTCCACAACTCCGACGGTCCATCCTTCCTGCCTCCCAGAACGCACTTATACAGTGAGTTGCATCCCTAAGCCCCTGAGTTCAGCCCAAAACTATCAAGAAATACCTCATGCATGTCAAATCAATGCACACCGATCTCGACATACCATTCTCAGCTACAGAATCCCCCATCTTACAGCATGTCATCCATGGTATCAAGCGTTTTCACAGAGAAAAAGATCACAAGCCGAAGCAACCAATCACTCTATCTGTGCTTAAGGACATCCTCGCCCAACTCAAGCCTGAGACAACACCAGGACACAAGGTGGTCTATGCCGCTTGTTGTGTCGCCTTCACCGGCTTGCTACAATGCGGAGAATTCACAGCCAAATCAGTGGACAAGAAATTCTCCCTGACCTTTCAGTTATTGCAGGCATCAGTTCAGTTCCTCCCTAGCTTTGAAGCCACTGAACAGGTCATTCTCTTCCTTTCGGCATCCAAAACTGACCCATTTCATAAAGGCATCTCCATCTGTCTCACCACTGCTCCCAGGAAACTGACATGCCCAGTTGCTGCCCTCAAATCTCTCTTCACCGAGTCTGATGGAACTGCACACAACTCTGCATGGCCCCTTTTCCCATCACCTGATGATCCAACCAAACCAATCACATGGTCCTTCTTCATCTCAACAATTTGCAAAGCACTCTCAGCAGCTGGATATAATCCCAGTCTCTTCGCTGGACACAGTTTTCGATGTGGTGGTGCCTCCACAGCAGCAGCAGCAGGGTGCTCTGATGTTAGCCACCAACTCTACAAACTAGATCAAACGAGGATCGCCACTCACACTTCAGTGGATCAATACACTCGTAGGTCTAAGGATGTATGGAATGAGCAGGAGCAAACTTAGATAGATGCGAAACACGGAGTTCGAGTTGGGTAGATTAAACCTTAGCTGAAGCTGGGGTCTAAGCCAGCGAAGGCTACTACTTAAATACACTATGGATATGATATAAATAGTACTGTGAGAACCATTTGGTACTGATCGCATATTTGAGTAAGCAGCAATGAGTAAGAAAAGAAAAAGAAATGAATAAATCGTAACATTACCCCCCTCTTAAGACTCGTTCATCCCAAATGAGTCCTCAGATTCCCACTCATCATCGTTGTCTGAGAGTGATTTTCTGGATTCCGAGTAAAAGGATGGTATGTCATCATCTTCTTCATCGGAGTTCCAATTTTCATAAATTCGTTGGAGGTTTTGGAGGTTCACCTCTTCCTTGGTGTCATCTTTTTCAATTGTCGGTACTCCGTCTGCCTCGTCTGTGGTGACAACTGGCCATTTGTTTCGTAGGAAGTCAGGCTCCAGTTCTGGATTGAATGCCGGGTGCCAATTTTGTGTGAGAATAGTATTAGAAGGCAGTGAAGGAGAGGAGGGATAAGAGTCTTGTGGGCTATAGTCGCTATATGGTAGCCCACTAGCAGCACGATTGACCTTGTTTGCTATGCGATGTATTTTGGCTTCGTATTCATTGACAAGCTCTTCTGCATTGGCCATATTCAAGCGTTTAACCCAAGAATTCTCCTCCATTGGATATCCTTTCCACTTTACGAGGTACTCGGTTATTGTACAACGGTTTCGTCCTCGTCCAATGACTTTGTCTCGTTGTTCCACTATTTCTTCAATTTCATATTCTTCTTCATCGTCAATTAACTCGGGTGGTGGTCTTTCCGGGTGAGGTTGGTTCGAGAAGGCTGGAGGAATGTACCTTGTAAGTAGGAATTCATTAAATTGGTTGTGGATTTTCCACCCCACCGGGAGTTTTAATTCATATGCAGAGGCCCCCTTTTTAGATAAATGGTAAAGGGTCCCACCTGTCGGTCACCGAGTTTTTTCGTAGGTCGGGGTAGATGCAAATTGGTCATGTCGAGCCATACCTGATCGCCTGGTTGATACTCGACTGCGGTCTCTTTGTGTTTATCATAGGCCTTCTTCATTAACTTCGCTGCATTCTCCAGGGAGGACCTTGCTTCTTTCTGCGCTTTTTCCATTTCCTTTACCAATTTGGCAGCCGCCGGAACGGTGGTGGTCTTATGAGTGCCTGCCAGGATTTGCCCGTCTCTCCCAAAGATCACCTTGTAAGGTGAGTATCCCATTGCTGAATGTTGGCGATTATTATGAGTAAAGGCTGCTAACGGCAACCATTCACTCCAATCATCTTGTCGGTAGCCGACGAACATCTTCAGGTATTTCTTGATTTCTTGATTGACCCTCTCGGTTTGGCCGTCCATCTGGGGGTGATAGGCTGTCGAGGGGTTTCCTTGGACATGAACAAGGGTGTAGAAGTCTCTCATGAACTTGGAGACAAAGACCAAGCCCCAATCGGATATAACCTTTTCAGGCATTACTCCATAGGGTACATAGACGTAATCCCTCAGGATTTTGGCAAAGCCAAGGGAGGTGAGTTCTTCGGTACATGGTACTGGGATAATAGTCTTGGAAAAGCGGTCGACGATTACTAGGATTGAGTCGTAGTCCTTGGAGTTAGGAAGTTTGGTGATCATATCCACTGAGATGTGAGTCCATGGGCGTTCGGGGATCAAATGGGGGTGAAGCGGAGCTTTCTTTGGGCATTGGTCAGCCTTGGTTTGTTGGCAAGTTTCACACCCCTTTACATAAGCCTCCACTTCTCGATGCATCCATGGCCACCAGTAGTCACGAAGAATAAGTTCTTTGGTCTTCTCAATGCCTGGATGCCCGGCAGTGACATGGTCATGTTTAAGGGCAATGATTTCACCCCATAATCTTCAGTCTTGAGGAATGTAAATTCGCCCATCATACCATAGGAGGTCTTCTTCACAAGTGACTCCTTTCTCATGGTTAAGGGAATCGGAGATACCCCGATCCCACTTACATGGGTCATGAGTAGCGGCTTTGACCTTCTCATGGAGTTCCTCAGCGGTAGGCATCATTAGTGCTTTAAAGTGTTCAGCCTTGAGCACTACTACGTCTTTGTTATCCTCCTTTCCCTGGTCATGATCGGCCCGCCTAGACAAGAGATCTGCTTTACGGTTCTGGGCTCCAGGTTTGTGATGAAGCGGGAATTGATATTCTGCTAACTTGGTAATCCAGCGGGCTTGTCGTCTATTCAGCTTCTGGGGTTTACAGAAATATTGGAGATTGGAGTGGTCAGTCCAAATCTCAAAATCCTCTCGGGCCCCCATTAGATAATGACGCCACTCTTCTAGGGCAATCATTATGGCTAATAGTTCCTTGTCGTAAATTTCATAGTTTTGCTCGGTGACTGACAAGGATTTGGATAGGAAGGCCACTGGACACTATTTGTCATCTTGTTGTTGTGACAACACTGCCCCTACGGCTCCCTCACTAGAATCCGCCTCTACTCTGAATTTCCCATGGTCAAGGGGAATGGCCAGGACTACGTCCTCTTTGAACAGCTCTTTGAGTTTTTCAAAGGCGTCCTGCTGTGCTTTTCCCCATTTCCACTCCACCTTTCCGGTTAACAAGGTCAATGGTTTAACATGCTTGCTGTAGTCACGGATGAATCGTCAGTAGAAGTTACAGAAGCCTAGAAAGGATTGTAGCTCCTGTTTCTTTTGAGGTACCGGCCACTCTAATAGCCCAGCCACTTTTATCAGGTCCATTCGGATTTTTCCTTCGCTAATGATCACCCCTAGGTACTCCGTTTCCTCCACTTCAAATTCGCACTTTTCGGCTTTTAGGAATAGATGATTTTCTCGAAGTACCTGCAACACTTTTCGTACAATTCGCCGGTGCTCCGACTTGGTCTTGGAGGCGATAAGTATGTCATCCAGGTATACCAATACCTCCCCGGCCATGATGAGGTCCTTAAAAATGTTGTTCATCATCCATTGAAAGGTGGCAGGGGAATTGGTTAGCCCGAAGAACATTACCAGGGGTTCATAGAGCCCGCGATTTGTTCGAAAGGCTGCCTTCCACTCGTCTCCTTGTTTGATTCGGACATTGTTATAGCCCCATCTCACGTCTAGTTTGGTGAAGTACTTGGCCCATTTGAGCCTATCCATCAACTCCCCGATAAGTGGTAACGGATAACGATTTTTGATGGTCATCTCGTTCAGCTTGCAGTAGTCTTGTACCGGGCGAAGTTTCCCATCCTTCTTTTTGACAAAGAAGAATGGTGATGCCATGGGGGATTTCGAGGTTTGAATACGTCCTGTGGACAGGTTCTCATCGAGGAATTTATCAAGCTCTTCTTGCTCGGAGGGATTCAAAGGGTAGACCTTACAGTCTAAGTTGGCATTGGCATTAGGGATTAACTCGATCACATGGTCCCAAGGTTTGCGCGGGGGTAGTTCATCAAAGTTCTCTTTGTCAAAGACGTCTTTGAACTCCCGGTACTCCTCTGGTACTATTTCCTTGAAAGATTTGGTGGCCTTCTTGGCATGAGCTTGGGCAGCCAAGTCGTTTGCCTTGGTTCCCATGGCCCATACATGGAAGGCTTCTTCGAAGTCTATTACCAGGATGGTGTCTCCTTCTTGGTATTCTTCCCAACGAGCTGAAGGATCGGTGTCAGGGAGATGGAAAGGGATTTTCCGGCAAGTGCAGTGGGCTAAGGTCACAGCTCCCGTGTTCCAGTTGATCAAGGGGTTGTGCCTTTGTAGCCAGTCATGTCCTAGGAATAAAGGGGTGTTACCGAGGTCCACTACGGCGAAGTCGATTTGTTCAACATGATCTCCGATGCGTAATCGTACTTCGGCATATTCCGTGATGTCCCCACCTTTGTTCCTGGTGCTGTCAGCATTGTACACCGGAATGGGCCATGCCACCTTTTTAAGATTAATCCCATGCTCCTTTACCCATTTGTGATTGATGGAGCTTCCAGTGGCTCCACTGTCTACCAGCGCCTTTAGGGCATATAGATCCCTCGTATCCATGGTCTCTAGTTGAACGTCAATAGATACATTTCATCCCTTCCTTCCCCATATATACATCGGTGGCTTTTTCAAATCCTCCATCCACTCCCATCGGCTTCTGGATTCTGCCGCTGTTTCCGCTTGCTCTTTCAACTGCTCGCACAGTTCTATGTTCACTTCCTCCTTTCGTCAGGGGTGTACCCAGTTGTTTAGGGCTGCGCAGGCAGCGGTGTCGTCGGTAGCCAGTCGCAGTGCCTTACGGGTCCAATGCACGCCAAACAGCTCATAATACATGTCAATGATGGCCCGTTTGGCTTCAGGTGCTAATTCATGTTCAGGGATCACAAGAGACTTTCCTTTTGGTGGTGTTATCGGAATGTCAGTCCGTAAATAGGCCTCTTCATCTGGGACCTCTTCGACCATGACTTTACCAGCATTTCCTTGTGCTTGTCCTCATGGTGGCATTTGGTCACTGGGCCAGGAAGGGCCCTTAGGCAGCATTTGGTCGCTGTTCAATGAGGTGGTGGAGGAGGGCTTGCTGCCCTGTGTTCAGCCCCAGCCAAAGGCGCTTGTGCTCAGCATTGTAACCTCCACATTGTCCTTCTTCTTACTGCTCTCAGACCCGATGGTACTCCGGGTAACCCTTTGTGGACGCACACATATTGGCTCGCCCGAGGGGTCCCCACCTTTTGCTGCTGCATTCTGCGTTCGTGTGGCTACTGAGTGGGGGTGGTTCCTCTGGTTCCCTGCCTCAGCTGCTTTTCCAATGCTGACCGTTGCTACAATTGGGGTAGGAGCAGTGGCCTGGGTCGTTGGCCTTTCTTCCTCATCGGGGCGGCTGGGCCCAGCCTGATCCTGACATGAGGGCCTCTCAGTTTCATCCCAAACTTTCCCCATACTGTCAGGTGGGGGTTCCTGAGCTCAGACGGCCCCTAGGGGTTCATTGCTCAACGCAGAGTGCATGGAGCAGTGGAAATCCCCTCCTATGCCATTGGCGTTTTGTGATTCCTCTTCCTTAGTTTCTTCGATGGTTAACACAGCATAAAAATTCGTATATTGCTCATATGGAGTACCTACATATGTATGAGAAACCTGACTAGCAGGAGAGCATGCACCAGATGAAACTAAGTCCTTTGCCGATGCCATCGAATCGCTTATTTCGATGCCGGCTCGTCTTTTGATGACTTATCGTCCTTGACCTCCTCAACCTTTGTGTCTTTTTCTAATTCTTCTTTCTTGGCCTCCGCGAGTAACTGGCACAGTCGTTGAGTGGGGATCTTCTTGCGAGGGGGGAGTTTGATGGGGATCCACTTTGATTTGTCCGTTGGACATTTATGGTCCTGGCTCCACCCAGTATTTCCGCATTTGAAGCATCGCTTCTTGCTCCACAGCTTATCAATCTCCATTGGCTACCTGGCCCCTCCATACGTCACCCCGGTAGCATCCTTCTTATTGCTAGAACCTCCCGAAGCTCCTGCCTTCGCAGAGGACTGATTTTGGTTGCCTCAACCCGAACCACTGTTAGGGTTCGGGGAGGACTTATTTCCCTGCTGTTGGGCAAGGCCATACCGATAGTTGGCGTCGATCCTTTCGGTTCGCCATTTCCACTCGGCATAGGTGGTGGGACGGGCATTGTCCCCATGCATGATTGTGGTTCAAACTGTAGGTCGCATAGCAGCTTCGACGGCTTCGAACATTTGCTTCTCGTCTCCGAACTCTTCGCACTTGGTAGCGACCAGAGTCTCAGGTTATTTCCCAGAGATGGGTACCCTCCGGGTTTTGGTGGTAGCGGAGGCGGTGGCCCTGTAGGCGGTCCCTGTGGAGGAACCGTGGATTCCTTTCCTTTGTCGGGATTCGAGGGCCCCACTCCTGCATCGTCAGCCCATCCATCATCTCCTCCTCCTCCTCCTGCTCCGAACTTCATTGTTTCCAATGGATGGGGCATTGGTGCGGGTCATCGATATGCCGTGCACCTGGGGCACAGATCTTCCGGGTTGCATATGTTCCATACTATCGCCACTCTATGCCAGGCGTCGACTTCGAGAATGTTTCTCATTAGATAAATATTGCCCACATGCCTTGCGTCGATATAGTCTTCTCTGGCTTCTGTGATAAGCCACTGGGGGTCCTGCACCATGTCTTCTGCCATGATTTTGTACAGCGCCTCCCACTCCAAAAATACGAGCACAGCCGGCACCATTTGTACCGATCTAATGAGAACCACCTTCACCTGCCTCATTACTTCGTTGGCAATTGCGGAATTGGGCAGTCTCTTCAGCATTCCACTGCCGACTTGCTCTTGTGGACCACCCTGGTCCTCCGTGTTCTCGCTGTTGTCTTTCTCGGAGGTTTCACCTCCTCCTCCATTCCGTGAGGTCAGAGCAATCCTCATTGAAGATCTCGTTGAGGAAGTTATGTCAGGCCTCATTCCGGTATACATTGTCTTGGGTTCTCCGTAAGACTTCGTGGAACTGAAGCTTGGCTGCTCTGATTCTTCGACGGGCCTCATCATCCATGGCATCTGGTTTGAGGGGGAGGTCTTTGAGACCTCGTATGGCATGGCGCTCAGCATTTCTGGTGTGTGTGCTGTCCATTCTTGCTCTGTCCATTCTGGCCACTCCTTCTGGGGTGAGCTGGGCAGCTCGAATGTTGAAGTTGGACTCGATGAGCACATGGTACTCATTGGTCCACGGTCGCTGATTGAAGGGGATGGGGGCAGCGAATGCTCTTGGTGCAACTGACGGGGTGAAAGCAGGGAATCCAGGGAATTCGTCGGCAGAGGTACTTCCTCCAGGGGTATCTGTCTCAGTATTGGGGTGAGCATCCGGGTTGTACGACTCAATGGTGTCCCAGATACACTGCTCCATCTCGGCAGGGAGGGCAACAGTCCACAGGATGGGGGTGTCCTTGGGCTCTGCAGCTTCGGTTGATACTCTGGCCACAGGAGTTTCTTCCTGGGCGAAGACCCAACTTGTTGTGGGGTACCATGCCACAGGGATCCCCTGCCACTCTCTTCTGCCGCCTGGCGCAATTCTTCCATCATAAGGGTCTGCGGCAGCTGGACCGGTGGTAGTTGCGGTGGAGGCCCCAAGGCCGAGCTCTCCACTGTCTTCTGCAAGATCGTCTCCACGGAAGTACTCTCTTGTGTCTGCCTCGGCGGTGTGGTACTCACTTCGGGAATAGGGGTCATCCCCTTCTTCCATTGGGACACCATCGAGGAGGTCTTGGAGCTGGATCCTTTTGAACTCTGTGAGACCATCATCGCTTTCTTCGCCCTCCTCCATAGTCCTTCTCTCTCTTCCTCCAATGGAAGGGAGGTCTGCGATGCCTGGGGGAGTGAAGGGTCCTGGGGTTGCGAAGACAAGTCCGTCTCCGAGGTCGATACTTTGTACATCTGTGATGTCGACTGATGAGGCTCTAGGTGTTGGGGAAGACTCCCTGGAATCTGAGGATTGTCCTCTGGGTGTGATGGGTCATCCATCATGTAGTGTTGGAATATGTGGGTAGGGATTTACCGGGTATGGGATCGGAAGGTGTGGAACATAATGGAACGGTAGTCGTGCCCTTCGGGGTTGGATGCAACACCTATATAATTGCCTGAGGGCAATCACTAGGAGTGCTCCTGCCAATAATCTGAATGCTACTGCGACGGTTGGAAGCAATTTAGCAAGCAGCATAGGCACTTGGGAATAGTGATGATTGGTTTTTATGGTTCATAGAGAGCGCAGGACATGATGAGTAGGGTTACTACTATCACCGGGTAATATGCGCTTGTCACGATGAGCAGTATGACCACTGCTAATGCAATGAGTTCGAATAGGAAGAGGAAAAGGTAGATGTTCAACGTGGCCATTGGTCCACCCGCGGTGTATTGACAGTCACACACTGTCCTCACGAACACACGGTGGTGACCTCTCTGGTCAACGTGAAGGTATAATGGGTTGCTGAGTCCCGGAAGATCGATGGGCACTGACAAACGTCTAAGTGCTGCCTAGCAACCTTTCAGTCTAGCTGGAGGATATAGTCTTTAAAAGTTGTTGGGCAACGTTCGTTCTCTGACGTGGTGCTGGGTGACAGGTAAACGAGCTTTGGCTAAATGTTAGCCACCAACTCTACAAACTAGATCAAATGAGGATCGCCACTCGCACTTTGGTGGATCGATACACTCGTAGGTCTAAGGATGTATGGAATGAGCAGGAGCAAACTTAGATAGACGCGAAACACGGAGTTCGAGTTGGGTAGATTAAACCTTAGCCAAAGCTGGGGTCTAAGCCAGCGAAGGCTACTACTTAAATACACTATGGATACGATATAAATAGTACTGTGAGAACCATCCAGTACTGATCGCATATTTGAGTAAGCAGGAATGAGTAAGAAAAGAAAAAGAAATGAATAAATCATAACATCTGACTACGAAATTCAAATGCTCGGCCATTGGTGTAGCAACACCTACAAGCTCTACATAGAAACGGATCCAGCACGTATTCTCTACATCTCTTCATTCCTTCATTTGGCCCACTCCAACTCCACCTCATACGTTCCTCCAGACCTCTGAGCTTCCATCACTTCCATTTGGCTTAGGTGTCCCCTTTCGGGTGCTCGAGAACTCGGTCTCACAATGTCATCATTGGTCCCAACCTCACCCTCTTGCATGAACATATTCTTAAGAATCTGCTCCGATTTCCTTGCTCTCCACTCGTAGGAGATCCAGGCATTGATTGCCACTAACACTAGGCATAGAAGGCTGCAAGGTAAACTGCTGAGCACCTTCTTCTGCACAGGCTTAGACAAAAGCGGCAGCCAATGTGGAATATTGATGACTCTGTGGCTGTGCAAGCTGGTGCGATGTCCAGTTAGCCCGAGTTTTGCTGAGTAAGGATTTACTAAGAGAAAGAAAGTACTAGAAGATACAAAATGGTATTTAAGTAGCTAGATTTCATAGTATTCTGTACTCGTTTGCCTTCTAAGCAAACATTATCTACTCACTAGGCAAATGTGCCTGAGCACACGGTGCATGTGTTATACAACAGCCAAAATAATAGATATCTTGGGGGCAGCTAAAGCACCAAAGGAAGGAATGGTAGGGTAGGAATAAATAGGCTCATAAGGTGGTGGAGCCCATCGGGATCTCGATTTTGGAGTGGGAGATAAGAATTGGGATGATTGGATTGGACTGGAAGGGTCCAAGCAGACTGGCACATGTGTGTCAGCAGCTGCAGAAGTACTTGAAGAAGAAACAACCGATAATGGTGAACAGAAAGTGATACTGTGCTTTACCTAGTCAATCAATGGATTGTAGCAGGAAAGCCAGTTGTATCTTAAAACAATGTTACAAGATGAATCTAGATGAGTGACATAGAAGTCAATAGAAAGGATGTCTCCAGAAGGAAAACAGATTGGAAGGGAAATAGATTGAGAAATGTGAGATCTAATGGAGCTGTTAAAAAGCTGAAGTTGGACAGGAGGAATGGATTTAGTAGAGAGATTGTGATACTCAATGTACTTCAAATCAATGAAGCAGTGGCTAAAGCCAGAATCAACAAAAGCAAAAAAACAAAGGATAATAAAAATAGGTAAACTGTCGGACTCTGATCCAGAGCCAACTTCAGAGGAGAGAGAGATGGTTAGAACCAGTTCAATAGAAGCAGTGGACTCAGGAGTGGAAGAAATGGCAGCAGCATGACCACGAGCAGAGGCTGCAGCCTTGCACTTGTTGCAGTCTTTAGTTTTGTGCTTACCTCCACAGAACATGCAGAGGTTATTCTTCTCATGGCAGTCCTTTTCTTCTTGAGTAAGATGGCCATCCTTGCCTAGCTTATCAGCATAGGGCTTCGGGTTGGAAGGCAAAGAAGAGTTGTTGGAAGATGATGATGATCCTGTGGAGCCTGAATTAGAGGACTTTTGGCCTGTGGAGTTGGAGTTGGAAGACAAAGAGTTAGAACTCTTCAACTTGTTGCCATTGTTAGAGGAGGAGGAGAGATTACTGCAATTTTCTCAGGAGATTTCAGCCCTCTGAGTCCAGTAGCGAGCGTCAAGCTCCTGAGCAAGATTCTGCATATCATGAAGGTTGTCAGGTTTCCTATGGTGAACTATATCATCCTTGATGCAGGAGCAAAGACCACAGGAGGATTGCAGTGCTTAGGATGAAGGATATCCAGCTCAAACCAGTTGAGGGCAACACCAGAGAGGAAAGAGATAGCGTAGTTGATCTTCACCATATCTGATCAGAATGCATCAGCATGGTCATTGAAGTTCAACTGGAGGGAAACAATGAAAGCTTTGAGTTTTTGGGAGTCTGAACCATTGAAGGTATCTGGTTCCTTGACCTTCATGCATACAGCATGCTGACAGTTGCCATTGACAGCATTGGAAACTCCATGGAGGATGTTTATGAGTTGAACGAGAATCTGGGCATTGTTATTAGGAGAGTTAGGATTGTTACCAGGGTTATTGTTAGGACCACCTCCAGGACCACCAGGTCTGCCAGAGTATTATGACCTTACCTCTATTTTTCTTATCTTATCTTATCCTTATCTCCCAGAACCCTGGACCTACCTATCTTATCTCTCAGACCCACAATATTCTGCCAGCACATCTCCTACCCATTTATCCGGCTGCCATCATTCTGCTGATGATTTGCACATCCTGGATGACTGATGTACTGCATGTGCTATCATGCTTCTCTTGATGGCATCATGCTTCTTAGTGGTTGGACAAGAGTTGACTGCTAGTCAAGGGCAGTCTATGGGATATGGTCAGGAACACACTTCTTTCAGTATTCAGGACTTAATTAGTCATGGGGCTTGGAGTTCAGGTAAAGTTGGGAGTGTATGACTTTAGCTGAAGCTGAGGTTTAACCACAGTGTAGGCTACTACTTAAATACAAGTTTGGTATACTAATAATAACTGTGCTATTATGATTCCATGATAGAGAATGAGTGCGATGTGACCAATGGCAATATGCCAGCGAAAGGATTATCCAATAGTGAGCGGCCAGCTAGACGAGTGAGGCTTCTGGAGGAGTCATGCCCTTGTGGCCAGGACCCTGCCTGAGTAAGAATGTCTGAGCTTGTCTACCACGAACCAGAGATCAAGTGATGCAGAAGTGACTGCTGATTGATTGGAACAAAGATACCATGATGGAAGGATTGCATGATGCAGGAGCATTGGTACGGGTTACGAATGAGCCGACTAGAAGTGATGACGAGAATCGGATGATGATCGAGGAAGGATGACATGAAGCAAATGACTAAAGCAAAAAATAAGGGTGAATTCGTGACACTCCTTGCTCTTGCTATCTAAGTGACACCTAACTTCTCACAATCTACCAAAGCTCCTCTGACACTGAATCACTGAATGTGAGTGACAGGATAGAGGTGATGCCTTGGCAAGATTAGAGTTAGTGCTTAACATTTAGCTGAAGCTTGCTCTTACTACTCTTACCATTGTCTGACAATAGTAACTGTACTGCTTCAAGGCAGTCACTGTTATACTTTCAAAACTTCAGCCCATTATCTGTAAAACGGCACCCACCATACCTCAAGACCCTAAATGTTCATTGTGGTACAACAAGCTTTATGCCTCTCACCCCCTCAGACTGCACCATCATTATCTTTGGAAGTACCTTCAGTACCTTGATACTACTAACTGCAATCGCCATTATCCATTTTACCTGACCAACCCAATGCCAAAGAGCACTGACCCCCAGAAGAGGGAGAGTAGATGGACTCAATGGCTCATCAACAGAAACATCCCACACAGGGAGCACCATCAGGCTCAGATCTGTCACACCAAGGCCAAGGAGGGAGTGAGATGCACTTTGAGCTCCCCTACCCAACAGAGCAGACCACTCTCAAACAATCAAGCATCAGATCGAGGATCAGCTCAGCTGTGAAACTTCCCTTCAGGAAGAAGACCTTGGACAACTCGGCATCCCTCCAGACAATGGAGAGTTCTCAGGAGACCCTTGGCTCACAGTCAAGTACTGGACTGACATATAGGAGTCCTGGGATGCCACCACATGGGACAACAATGACAGCTCCAGGGAGCCATCAATCTCTTCCATGAAGTTATTGGCTGCCATACCAGGAGTCAACTCTGATGGAGAGTGCCTCTATCAGAGAGGAACCCAAAGGTTCTACATCAATGTATTTAATCAAATCATCAGTGCATGAACCAGAGGAAACTACTAGAGGACAGCAGATAGAACATGGGGGTGAAGAACCACTTTCAAAGAAGTTGAAGACCTATTCCTCCCTGCCCAGGAATGAAGGCAGAGAGGAGATGTATGAGACATGGATCAAGAGGGAGAGGCAGAGGGATATCAAAGAGATGAATTGTCAGAGCCAGGTTGGAACACAGCTCCAACCTCCCTCACATCATACACCTCTGATGGGACCTACAGAATTGCTGGACCCCCTTCATGGTGGGACAATGATTCCATCCATGAGTCAGAGTTTGTCTGGCCCTCTCCCAAACCTGAATCCAAAGTTCTCCTCCCAAACTTTGTTATCATTGCTGACCTCAGAAACTTCACCGAGCCTC